AGAAACATCAATGATGAGAGAGAATCATTGATTGGCTGCCTCCTGCACGCCCCCCACAGGGGATTGAGCCAACAACCGGCCATGTGCCCTGACCGGGAATTGAACCATGACCTCCTGGTTCATAGGTTGATGCTCAACCACTGAGCCATGCCAGCCAGGATGAACCATTTCCAGTTTTAAATAAAACTGAAGCATGCTTCTTTGTCTGACTTATATTTATTATATTTATTCTTTTTCTTTTCACACAAATGCACATATACAGTTGTTCCATTTCTTTCCCATCAAGTTATGGAAATGCTTTTTTGAAGCATTTTTATTCTATTTCTTGGCAGAATAATAATATTTATTTCTTGATTTATTTTTTTAGTAATAAAGATAATAACTTCATTTTCTTAGTATTTTATGTTTTGCAAAGAGCTTCTACATACAGTGGTTAACCAGAAGGGTTAAGACTAAAGCAGCTTTTTAAACTTTGGTTTAGAAACTATTCTTTATTCATAGCATTACCGCTAAAATACAAAGAAAATTTGTGTACAGTGGGGCCTTGACTTACTAGTGTCCCGACTAACGAGTTTTTTGAGATACGAGCCGTCTCTCGGCCGATTTTTTGCTTTGAGTTGTGAGCTAAAATTCGGGTTATGAGCCAGCTTCAGATACCCCACCGCTAGTTGGCGCAGCGAACGTCACAGTGAACGCCACAACATCAGCCCAGCATCACGTGTCTCACTCGTTCACTTTTTATTTGACATACGAGTAATTTGAGTTACGAGCTCCGTCACAGAACGAATTCAACTCGCAAGTCAAGGCCCCACTGTATTCCAATAACTGCATTTATTTGGGAAGAAGAACTAATGTGAAAAGGAATGATCCTTCAGTAATTTTGTTTTTTACTGGAATTTTTCAAAGTACCTTTGGTGTGCATAAAACATACAGAGCATTTATAATACTTTTTAGGTGCTTTACTAAAGTTTTATGGTATGTATTTTAGGTTGTCTTCCTTCTGCATGCTTTTTAATGTTTTGGCTCATGTTTAATATCTACTTTTTAAAAATAGTAGTTAGGGTTGGTTGCCGTGATGCAGAACATATGGGTGTGCTTTTTCTATTTTTTATTTATTTTTTGCTACATTTGATGACATCTGTAGGGAAGCTTTTATTCTATCCTGGTTTACTGTTTATTTCTATAAAAAGAAAAGATTTTCAAAGTAATGTTCTTATTAAGACAGATTTATGTACATTGATTACCTGTATAAATGGCAAATATTATAATGACAAAAACTTTATATTTAAAGTACAAAGTGGTCTATTTTTTATTATCATTTTTAGGTAGAGAAAGGTAGAGAGAGAGAGAAAGAGGAAGAGAAAGATAAACATCGATTGGCTGCCTCCTGCATGCCCCCTACCGGGGATTGAGCCCATGTACCTGAATGGGAATTGCACTGGCAACCTTTCGGTGCACAGGATGACGCCCAACCAACTGAGCCACTCCAGCCAGCACTAAAGTACTCTATTTCAATGGCATGATTCACTTACAGAATTTTAGTATATTAGGGTAATAATTATTTGATTTAGTCTTCTTTAATGGTATCTTTTTAATGTTTTTTAGATAACAGTGATGGTGAGATAACTAGTGAGTGTGAATATGATAGTGTCTTTAACCATTTAGAGGAACTGAGACTTCACCTGGAGCAGGAAATAGGCTTTGAAAAGTTCTTTGAAGTTTATGAGAAAATAAAGGTAAGTGAAATGTCAGTTAAAACATTTAATTTTGAAATATGCTCTGTTTAAATTATTAGTGAAATGTCAGTGATTTTTTTTATTGGTAAGTAAATTTATTGTAAAAGATTAACAAAGTATCCAACTAGAGAAAGATAATATTCAAATATTACTTTGTATTTGGAAACTTGGTATAGGCTGTTCATGAAGATGAAGATGAAAATATAGAGATTTGTTCAACAATAGCTCAGAATATTTTGGGAAACGAACATCAGCATCTTTATGCAAAGATTCTTCATTTAGTCATGGCAGATGGGGCCTATCAGGAAGGTAAGATTTCCTCCCATCTTTATATTTTAAATAAATGTGCAAAAAACAAAATGGCAAATGTAAATTGATGAGCTTCAGCAATATGCGAAGTTTATCCTAAATAATACTAAATGTAATCTCTTTCAGAGTAAGGAGAGTTCATCTGTAGGGATTGGAATGTAACCCATTTTTATATTTGGAAACTACTTACCTATAGAATCACTAAAAAATATGTTAGGACTTTATGAAAAGTTATTAGTTAAAAATGGTTTCTTTTTAAATATAGTCAAGAGCACTTACCATGGAACCAAGAAACCAGTGTCACAGTCCTGACTCTTTGGGAGGCTAATGATGTGACATTGAGTGATTTATTTTGTCTTAAGTTCACTTTCCTTTGCTATAAAAATAGAAAGATGATCTCCAATCTAATGTACTTAGATTGGTTTTCAAAGTAGTTATTGTGTGCTTCCGGAAGGTTGTCCGGAAGGACGTCCAGAAGGTCGTTTGGCTGTCCGGTCTAATTAGCATATTACACTTTTATTATTGTAGAATATATATACACACATATCATCTAATTAGCATATTACACTTTTATTATTATAGAATATATATACACACATATACTTGATTGCTCTTCCTAAGATACTTTTTAGTACAGTAGGAATTAGAGAAGGGGAGGTTGGTTTGTGAAAAATGGAAAGAAATATAGAGGGAACAATTTGTAAGGAAAATAGAATGAACTGATCAATGTATATTAGGATGAAATTGACCATATTAGAAGCTTCTTATTGAAAATTAGTCTTTGTGATATGACACTGTGAAGTGTGTAAAATACACAGAGGAAATTAGTGAAGATTTTTGAACTGAAAAAAACTGACATAATTAATGAGGTGTTTTAGAAAGTTCAATCTGGCAGCAGTATTCTGGATGGTTTGGAGAGTGCCAAGATTGGAAGTAATCTGTTTTGAAACTGTAGGTGTGTTTGGGCATGAGGTGATGAATACCTGGATTTCCTGTTCATAGGAATAGAGCTGTTAATATTCAGTTCAAGTATTTCAGAGCAAGGCTTCTTATAAAAATATTTGATAGTTTGACTCATGAAAAATTGTTTACTAAAATGAAATTAAATATTTTTTTAATTTGGGGAGCAGCTTTATAATTATGTAGACTTATTTACATTGACTGTTTTTTCCTAAAGTTTTATGATATGTTTTATAAAGCTCAACAAAAAATGTTTCTTTGGATTGTTTTAATAGAAGTAAGTCTTATAAAAACTCTAATAGTTATTGATAAATCAAAATTAGAAAATCTTCAGGTACAGTCAGTACTATTATCTTATAGCATCAAAAATCACTGTATTTTGCCCAGCCGAGTGGCTCAGTTGGTTGAATGTTATCTTGTGCACCAAAAGGTAGTTAGTTGGATTCCTGGTCAGGGCACATACCTGGCTTTCAGATTTGATCCCCTGTTGGGGCATGTGCAGAAGGCAACCAATTGATGTTTCTCTCTCACATCAATGTTTCTCTCTCTCTCTCTTTCTCTTCCTCTCTTTCTTTCAGCATGTCCTCAGGTGAGGAATAAAAAAAAAAAATCACTTTTTTCAGTACTATTCTTTTTTAACAGAATAACTGTCAAGAAAAAGTTAGGGTTGTTAGCTACAAGTAATGCACTGAATATATACCAGTCTTCCTTCATAAGCCAGTAATTAGTGCTGCACTTATTCTTCATTATGATTTCTTTTAGCCCTCTTAGTATTATAACAAATAAAAATAAAATGTTTTATATTAATGGTGGTTGCTATGAAATCTATCAATAGAAACTTAAGGGAGCACTTCTCTATAGAAATTGTTAAAGAACTACAACAGTATTTGGTGGAAAAATGTAAGAACTTAATGTAGAGATATAGACTTAGTCTAATGAAGATGTTCCATTACACAAAATACCTTGAAAGTTCTCTTCTGGAATTTCCCTGTGACAGCTTATATACCAGATTCTTTTGATTATCCTTTTTGGTATAAGTTCTTTTTCTGGGAACATTTAATTCTTTGGAAAAAGCTCAACGTTACTTTAAAATCAAGCTTAGTGAATGAAGTGGGTTATCAAGGTCAATAATATGTGGTCTTGCCCTAGCCAGTTTGCTTGGTGGTTAGAGCATCAGCCCCAGAACTTTGGGGTTGCAGGTTCTATTCTGGTCAAGGGCACGTACCTTGGTTGCAGGCGCACATGGGAGACAACAGTTAATTGTCTCTCATATTGATGTTTCTCTGTCTCTCCCTCTCTCTTCCACTCTCTCTAAAAATCAATGGAAAAAATATCCTCGAGTGAGGATTAACAACAACAACAACAAAATAATAAAATGTGGTCTTTTTGTTTTAAGTCCTATTATGAAGTAAGGAACCTAATTTTTCAAAATTAATTTATAAACTGATTCTGATGATTTTGAACAAGAATATATTTCTAGAATATTGGTCAAAAAATTCTGTTACTTTATAAGTATGATTTGTAGACTGAAATTGAGGATTTAAAATGTTGATGCTTAAATTTAACAATATAAATTTTTATAAGATTTTATCTTGTTTTGAAAACATTAAAGATTGCATTTAAAAATACATTCAATACAAGATAAAATTAAGAACAAGTGTTTGGAAAATTCAACATATCAGGCAGATGAGTGCAAACAATATAATATTAAGCCAAGACCAAAGTAAGAATACAAAGTTTATATTCAAATGATTTCTACATTTTGTGAAAATAAGTCACAAATTTGGTGCTGATCTTTCTAGCAAAGCAGGAAACCTAATTAAGTACATGAGTCACAGTGTGCATGAGACAAAACATGTCAGTTACGCAAAGGTCAGCTATTTTTGGTATTGAAAGAAAGGAAACAATTTCCCATGATTCTTAAAAAAGAGAGGACTATGATATAGTGTTCCTCAAGGTTGAATAATATGGTGATTCCTTTAAAGGGTAAAAAATTGTTTTCAGATTCCAAGAATCTAAGTCCATGGATGTCAGTGAAAAACTCAAGTCTTAGTCCTTAAAAATGCCTGTCAGTTGTGATTTACTAGTGTAAAGCAAATGCTTTCCTCCAAAATGTTAAAAGATTATTTTTATTATTAGAGAATTGGAAATATATAATTAAAACATTATCTGGAACTTGTGAATTCCTGATTTTATTGAGATCTTGAACCCCATTTTATAAAATCCTATATAATAAAAGGGTAATATGCAAACAGACCAACGGCAGAACAACTGAACAACCAATCAAAGCATAATATGCTAATGATATGCTAAGGCTGCTCAACTGCTCGCTATTACATGCACTGACCACCAGAGGGCAGAAGTCAACTGGTAGACCAGTCACTATGACGTGCACTGACCACCAGGAGGCAGATTCTCTGACTGGTAGCTTAGCTTGCTGCTGGGGTCTGGCTAATCGGGACTGAGTGAATTAGCTTGCTGCTGGGGTCTGGCTAATCAGGACTGAGTGAAATGGGCCGGACACATCCTGGAGCCCTCCTGCGGTCCCTCCCCAGCCCAGTTGTGCACCGGCGGGGTCCCTCAGCCTGGCCTGCACCCTCTTGCAATCCAGGACCCCTCAGGGGATGTTGGAGAGCCAGTTTCAGCCCAATCCCACAGTCCACTCCCCTTGGGAGGGTGCCAGGTGCAGGGCTCATGGCTGGTGAGTGCCCCTGCTGCAGCGTGAGCCTCTCCTGATTGGGACTGATTGGACACGAGCCTGCAGCAGACACAGTGGGGCCTGGATGAGCGTGAGCGGCAGGTAGGAGCTGCAGGTGGTGTTGGACTGTAGGTTTTGGCCTGATCCCTGCAGGCCACCCAGAGAAACCCCGCCCGTGCACGAATTCGTGCACCAGGCCTCTAGTGGTACTATATCAGACTGAAAAATATCCTCAGTAATTTTTACAGTAGTTGTATTTCATGTGGCTCTTTCTCATAATATGGCATGGTGCAAGTTACTGGCATACATCCAACCTTGTAGTTTCTTAAGAAGGAAATACATACCTTCTTTCCACATTCACTTTGGATATTGTACTGTGTTTATGTAATGAAATTCTCTAGAGCAGTTAAAACAAATGGACTAAGTTTTTATCTATCAATATGGATAAGCCCCACAAATATGACCAGCTGAGTAAGTAGTTAGTACATGATACCATTTTTGTAATGTTTAAAAGCAATTTTATCTAGGTATACTTATGTCTAATAAAAGTAAAAAATCATGGGAGGGAAGGACACACATCAGACTCAGGATACTGCCCCTGGGGAAGAAGAGAAGTCACTAAGATTGGAGAAGAGTACTTTGTACCTGTAATATGATTTTTCTTAACAAATAATCCAAACCAATATAGCTACAAGTTAACTTTTATTATTTCTAAGGATTAGGTAGGTGTGTGTTCATTACTTTATTCTCTGTACTTTCCTGACTATTTGAGACATTGTGTAATTATAAAAAATAATTGAATTGTAAGAGTGATAATTGTAACATGTATGTTGCACAAGGTAATGATCTGGCTGTATTGGAAGAAATCAAAGTTTCAGGGTAATTCTTCCTAGGGGAGAGGACATCAGAGTTGGATTTTGAAATATTAATGTGAATTAACCCCCAAATCAATATGTGTACTTACACATAGAGGGATGTGAAATATTGCATTAGGGGAACTATAAGCAATTCACTGTTACTCAAGCATGAATTATGGGGATGCTTAGGGAAGGTGGGCAATGAAAGTAGATAAGGCTAGACATATTGAAAAGGCCAGATAATGAAGGGCTTTGCAATCCATATAAGGGTTCTGTCCTGAGGCAGTGGGGAGCTAGTGAAGGGTCTTAAGCAGTGCAGTGATTAGAGATGACACTTGGAATTTAATGAACAATCACCTTTGCTAGCATGTGGAAGATGGCGATTGTTATCTTAGATTAAATTAAGTGCTCTAATTCATTCAGCAGTGTTTTTTTAGGATAACAAAAAATTGGAAATAACCAGTGTCCATAAATAGAAATGCTGAATTGTACCATATCCATAAAATAAAACAAAATGCAGCCATTGAAATTGACATGGAATATATCTATGACTTATTCTTTTTCAACATTTTATTGTAAAATTGTCATTATATAGAAATGTTGGAAGAACTTTCCAAGTTATCACCCATATACCCACTACCTAGATTCTGCCATTAACATTTTATGATCTTGTTTTATTACTTATTTATTCATCTTTTTGTCCATTATGTGTTTTAAGGGGGAAAACTCATGTCTCAAAATGCATTTTATTGTAATTTTAAAAAAGATATTTGTATATTCACAGGGAAAGATCTGGGAAGATTTATATAAAATTAACATTGGTTGTCTTTGGCTTTTGGATGATTTTTTGCTTCCCACTTTATTGTTCATTGTATTGTCTGAATATTTTACACTGAGTATGTGATATTATAATAAAAACTACATTAAAGCTCGTTTCCTTTAGCATGAAAAATATAAATTTTTTACAAGTAGATACATACAGTTGATTTGCAGGGAAATGAATTAAATTATTTTCTTTTTTTTTCTTTACAGACAATGATGAATAATCCTCAGAACATTTTTTAATCCTCACCTGTATGAAAGCATTTGAATTTGGCTCATCAGAATAACAAATTTCAGTGGGACTGTAGCAATCTTTTATAAATGATATGTCAGATTTAAGATGGGCATGCTGATTGCATGAAAAAGTTGGACAAACATGACATTTTTCAGTTAAGATTCTAGTATTTTATCTATTATATTTTGTTTGTTGAGTTCTATAGTTGCCTCCTACAGACTATATACTTCATTAAATCTTCCAACCAAAGCATAAGAGACATTGATCCAGAATTGGGCATAATGGTTTTGAAGAAGATGTATCATGAAGTAAGGTAACTTTTACTTTCAGCAAATGTCCTTAGGTTGAAAGAATTACTTACGTTGTGAAAGACCTGCCTGTGGTTTTTCCTTTAAGCATTTAAATATGGCCCTTTTTTTCTGTCTACTTGTTTTCATGACCAGCAATTAGGTATTAAATAACCTTGTCAAGGGCTCTATTTAAATCTTTACATTTTGAAGATGGATTTTTTTAGCCTTAAAGTTTATATGCTCAGCCCTTTTTCAACCGTGTGTCTCCTGAACTAGCTGAGTGAAAACAGGCTATAGAAACAGTCTTAGAAATAGTTGAAAATTTTGATTATGAAAGAATAACAAAATTATATTTCCTGATGTTAAAAATGTTGATTACTTCTGTTTCTTTTTTTAAAAGACTGGAACCAGAAATATTATATCTAAAAATTAGTCTGTGGATTTTAACATCAACCTAGCATATAGCATAAAGTTGCCCTTTTTGTTTTTAATGTTCTCTCATGCATGTGCTTTTATGAGATGAAAAAGGAGAAAGGAATCATTTTTGACACTGACAGTTTTGGTAACTGTTATTCCATAGGGGGGAAATGTTTGCCTCTTTATTTCCATTATGAGAGGATCATTAAGATTGTAGTCACACAGCTTCAATTGCAGTATGCCAGGTTTCAGTAGCAATGTATAAAGTCCAGATGCTTTTCGTAATAAAAGTAGATTTTTTGAAACTTGAGTACAAAGCAGCCTGATTGGCATAATCTATAATTTGAACAATAAAATCTAATCTTGCAGCACTATCAGTACCATGCTGAATTTATTATGTATATTATTTCTAGCATCCAAAACTAAATACTTGACTTTTATAAATTTGTTTATTTTGTAATATTACAATTAAATTTTTATTATCTACCTGAAGTGCACTGTTGGTTGTCATATATTTATTAGCACTGTTTTCAATAGAATGGTTTTACACAGAGCTGAGAACACTTTCATTTCTTTTACCTGATGATTTTTATCTTTTTTTTTTAGTAGATGAATATTTGAATTCTGTACTTTAATTCTGTATAATCCTGAAAGATGAGAATGATTTTTTAAAAAGTCTTTAACCTATTATAACTATTAGAAAAGCAAGTAAAGGTTATAACACAATAGAAAAGGTTGTTTAGCCATATTTCAAAAGTGTCATATATATAAGACTAGGGATGACAAACAGGGTTTGTGTTATCTCCAGTCATCTTGGTGGTAAGTGGCTCTGGAGTATTCTTATGGAAACGGTCATCTGTACCAGTGGCGAAGAGGGTATTATTGGTCAGTTGGTTTGGCAAAAGTTCTCTAAACAGACCTTAAAATTGCCAAGTATAAAAGAAAAAGATCTGACTTCATAAAATTTATAAAATTTTACTTTTAAAAGGACATTGTTAATAAAAAGAAAAAAGCTAGCCATAAATTGGGAGATGTTTGCAAAAAATATACCTGACTGTCCGGCCCGTGTGGCTCAGTGGTTGAATGTTGACCTATGAACCAGGAGGTCACAGTTCAATACCCAGTCAGAGCACATGCTGAGTTGCAGGCTCAATCCCCAATGGGGGACATGGAGGAGGCAGCTAATCGATGATTCTCTCTCATCATTTATGTTTCTATCTCACCCTCTCCCTTCCTCTCTGAAATCAATAAAAGAGGTCACTGTGATTCCTGGTCAGGGCACATGCCTGAGTTTTGGGGCTCCATTCCCAGTGGGGAGCATGCAGGAGGCAGCTAATCAATGATTCTCTCATCATTGATGTTTCTATCTCTCTCTTTCTCTCTCTAAAAAATTAATGAAACATCTTTTTTTAAAAATCAGAAAGCTTAAAAGTAAAGTTTTGCTAGCAGGAGAATCAGTCTCATTAAATAGTTCCTTCTTGGAGAAGAATATGAAATACCTGCCCTGTAACTCTAAGAGTTTTCTGTTTAGTGGAATTTAACATGTAAGTGTCAGATTAGTGTTTCTGAGCTAGTTGTGTGTCACTGAAGTAGGTAGACAAGGTATGTTGTGAGTACAAGGATGAACATTTTTCCTTTATCTGGGGAAGAGAGGGGTCTTATTGTCTTAATCCAAGTTTCTTAGAAGCAGATCCCCACACAAGGATTTGTGTGCTGGTGATATCTTAAGGGAGTGCCCCCAGGGGAGGCTGGTACAGATGAAGGTGGGGATAGGAGAGGGAGAGTGTAGTTTAAGGCCAGGTTTTACAAAGGGTAGCTTCAGCTGATCTCCCAGGGAGAAGTTTGAGGACTTGTCCAGACCCAAGGTAAGGAAGCAGGGCTTTCATAATCCCATAGCCTCAGGCATTGGTTAAAAGCCATGTTCAGGATGTGAACCGCATCCAGCATGGACAAGGGTGAACCTGAGGAGGGGTGGTGAAGGATTAAAGAAGACAGACAAGAGAATACAGCGGGGGCTGGGTGGATCTCTAGTGCCTGGATGAGGACACAGAGAGACCCAGCCTGCAAGCCAAAGCTTTATTTTATAGTCAGAGCACACAAAGCAAAACAAGGGAAGTGGTCAACATGTTTACAATGTTCTTGTGAGTTTCACCTTGTTTTGGCAGCACTTGCTGCACCTCCCACAACCCATTAGCTACCTAGGAAGGAACTAGGGAGGACTATAAAATCAAACTTAATTATGCTAGAAGGGCTCTGCCCTCCAAGCTGGGACTTGTTTGTGGCCCTGCCACAGGTCAGTCCAAGGCTTATAGCTGCTCCCTACAAGGATGCAAAGACCAGGCTCTGCAAGTGTGGACAAAGTGGCTCCAGTAGCCCGAGAGCAGTTAGTCAAAGAAAAGTCACAGGTATTGAGTGTTGGAAGCAGAAGCACACTGAAGCCTAGAGAAAACACAAAAGTTTAAAGCAGCGGTTCTCAACCTGTGGGTTGCGACCCCTTTGGGGGTCGAATGGCCCTTTCACAGGGGTTGCCTAAGACCATCGGAAAACACATATATAATTACATATTGTTTTTGTGATTAATCACTATGCTTTAATTATGTTCAATTTGTAACAATGAAAATACATCCTGCATATCAGATATTTACATTACGATTCATAACAGTAGCAAAATTACAGTTATGAAGTAGCAATGAAAATAATTTTATGGTTGGGGGTCACCACAACATGAGGAACTGTATTAAAGGGTCACGGCATTAGGAAGGTTGAGAACCACTGGTTTAAAGGGACCCAAGGAGGACATTGTCTACTACAAATATTGTTGTGAAAATGTAATTAGCACATCAAAGACTGGATTTAATTTTTATAAAGTGAGTCATTTAAAAGGATAATGTAAAAATAGTGGCATAAATGGTCCCTAAGGTAAAAATGATTAAATTGGCACATGCTGGTTTGGTTATTTGTTTTCATTTATATGGCACAGTCAGGAGTTCACTTGCCACCAGGTGATGGCCACTTCAGTCTTCTTTGACATTCTCCATGCCCTCCTCCTAGCCCAAGACAATGCTAATCTTGTACTTATTACATTGCATAAAAATGACTGATTTAATATTCCTTCCCTAAAGGCTCTGTGAGGGTCTCAGAGCAATGACTGTGCCTTATTCATCTTTGCATTCTAATGTCTGCTCCATGCCTAGCTTCAGTAGGTAGTCAATAAATGTTTGTGGAATGGGCGAATACAGAAACCCTTTACAGCCTATGGAAATTCTAGAAAATAACTTTTATCTTCAGTATAAAGTTTGTGTCTTGTATTAACTAGACAAAAGCAATTAAAATGATAAACTCCTGCTAGCACACCAATAAACGTTACTGAGCCTTAGCAGATAACTTTTACATTTGGCACAGAAAGGTTCTTACCTGAAAATGGAAACTTAAACCTTTAGTTAAGAAAAGCATTCTTGATTAAAAGCTCTTGATTAAAAAGAGCTCATTAATGAAAAACAATACTATTTTTATAAGGACTCAGCTCCTTTTATCTTGCCCTGGTTTGGTTTCACGCTTCAACAAATCGCACCCTTTGGCAGTCACGGCTCCTTGCACTGCCAAATGCAGTATCCGGGGTTGGTCATGCCCTTCCCTGACGTCACTCTAGAAGGGGTCATCAGCTAATTAGCTGCATTAACTGGTCACCATTGTTGTATCCAAGCTTCAAGTGGTGCCGTCTGATGGAATCACAACAACTTGAAGAAAAGTTGATTTTTTTTCTTGACATAACAAAAATGGTCCTTAGGACAGTTATAATGGAATGTATTGATTAAAGGTGACCTATAGATGTTCAGGAGAGCAGAAAAAAAATCTCTTGCATAGAATGAATACTTCTGGTTTTTTCTCCAGATCAGACATGGAAAATGTCTATTTCTCAGATTTTAGCTTCTCCCTCTTCAACTCCCATTTCCTACAATATGTCTGCCATTCATCCACATATAGTACCAGTTACTGCTGCTTCTCACTGAACTGGAGTCTGTCATCTAGGCTCCTCTGCTCACATGTCTCTAATTTTGTTCTCTGGATGGTCAGCCCCTTCAGAGGTGCTTGAGCCCCCACCCCCACCCTCAAGAGGTCTCAAGTGTCCTACTTGTGAAGACCATGCTATTCCAAGGCAATACCTAGTCCGCTTGAAATTTGTCACTTAAATCTATGTAAATTGATTACGGTCAATCTTTCCATCTTTTTAGATCAAAATCGCTCAAAGAAGCAACTCTGAATGTTACACCCTATTGCAGACTAGAAGGGGGAAGGATCATAGAAGAGGGAAAATTATTTTTGAAGGGGTTCCCTTGAATTACAGCCTAAGTATTTTAGGTCTTATTTCCTTCTCCATTCCTTTTTCTGAGAATGAATTTCCAATTAGAACTTTTAGCTTTGAACATTTAAAATCTAAATAGAGTCAACTAATTCATGACTTTAGCCAAAGGCCATTACAAAATACAGCATAGTCTTTAAATTAAGGAATAAAGCACAGAATAAAGACTTGAATTGCAGGCACAGAACTTTGTAATGGAAATTTCACGTTTATTTGAAATACGTACTGACCTAATCAAAACGTCACAAGGAATAACTCACTGAGGTGTGAGTTCCATAGTTGGGAAAGGAACTAGATTTAGCTCACTGTGGTTTCCTTACGGTATCCAGCTTGGAGCTTCACAAATTTATTGAATTGGAGTTTTCTTAACACTCTTGAGGCAGTTAATATAAGAGGCCTGCTTCTTCAGTTCACAGACTTTTATATAAAACAGTCATGTACCCTGAGGAAGTCACTTAGACTGATGAAATTTGCTCCAGATAGAGCTGATTTCTAGTCTGGTAACCTAGCTCCATGGTCGGCAAACTGCGGCTCGCGAGCCACATGCGGCTCTTTGGCCCCTTGAGTGTGGCTCTTCCTAAGCCTTAGAAGTACCCTAATTAAGTTAATAACAATGTACCTACCTATATAGTTTAAGTTTAAAAAATTTGCCTCTCAAAAGAAATTTCAATCGTTGTACTGTTGATATTTGGCTCTGTTGACTAATGAGTTTGCCGACCACTGACCTAGCTCAAGTTATAAAATAGGCCCGCCTTGAAGTATTGAGGTTAAGTGAAATAACATACAGAATGCCTTGTTGAGATTGAGATAACATATAAAATGTGTCTGGCCCACTGTGAGCACCCAATATATGTAAGTTTTCTTTTTCCTTCTTCCAGGTTTTATCTTCGATAGTCCTGATGCATATGCGACATGGTTGCAGACTCACAAACAACATAGAACAGAGTGAAAGATACTAACTCAGGCATTCCAAATGTAACTACTTACTTCCAGCACTGAAAGTACTCTCCCACCCTTAATGGTTGAGATCTGTGCTCATTTTATTACACTATACCCTATTAGTTAAAGGCCCCTGGTGTGATATATGGTCCCATATTAATATTAGAAGTAGATACATTTCTCACAAGCAATT